TCAACGATCAAATTGCACAGACAAGTAGTTGCCCCCATTCACACGTTCGATACGCCTGATGCTCGCTTCGATCACATTCATATAGACATTGTGGGACAATTGACACCATCGCATGGGTATGATCACGTACTCACACTCATAGATCGTTTTACAAGATGGCCCGGAGCTATTCCCATCACGTCTATCACGGCGAAGACAGTTGCTCGCCGCTTCGTAGAATGATGGATAGCGCTGTACGGTTGTACTTCGACTGTCACGACCGACCGAGGACAACAATTCGAGTCCGGATTGTTCTTCTCGCTGACCTGACTGTTTGGCACGGAACACATACGCACTACCGCTCACCACCCAGCATCACTTAGTTTAGTTGAACGGTCTCATCGTCAACTTAAAGGTGCTCTTCGAGCACAAGAAAACATCAATTAGTACGAAACCTTATCGCTCGTCCTTAAAGGCGGATATTCAATGTTCAGCCGCTGAACTTGTATACGGCACGACATTGCGTCTGCCTGTGGAATTTTTCACATCACGGAGCAGTAACGACTTTGGTAAATCAGACTATGTCTAACGACTGTCTGAATTTATGCGAATACTGCCTTCGGTGTCAACTAGAATACAACATCGACAGGTCGCTCTCCCTCGAGAGTTATCTAACTGTTCACACGTTTTCATTCGAGTAGATTTGGTGCGCAAACCTTTGCGGTAGCGTTACGAAGGATCTTTTCACATGACTTCTCGTCACGAAAAGACCTTTAAGGTTGATCTACATGGCCGCATCAAGATCGTCAGCATTGATCGTCTCAAACCAGCACACATTGATGACTGTGACCTACCTGATAAGTTGAGACTCAATGTTAGACCCGTCAAACCTACTAGCGAAATCTCTACATCTACTTCAGATCCCACGCCAGATACATCAGAGACCTCATTCTCACTTCCCAGTCAATAGCGCGTGTCATCTGCACCATCTATGGACGAGACTTCGGTCTCACGTTCAGATCAGCAGACCACGACGCCCTTGACTTCGGGTGCGATCGTAGGCTCATGACGTACGAACGAGACTAGCGTCTCACGTTCCAATCGCCGAGTACGCCTACCCGTACGCTTTCGCGCTAACCACCCAATCATCAACGAATACGGCATAGGACTCTCAACCTATACTACATGGATGCTACACCTTTTCTCTTTTTCCTTGATTTTTTTTATCCTGAGCCCATCGCCCGTTCGGTACCGTCGACTTCAGTCAACCTTGGCGAAAGCTGGCCTGATCACTCACGCTCTTGTCAACGCAATCAGTCGATTTTCTTGTTCCGAATATGTCTGGAATACATTTGGACTCGCACTTGGTTGTTATGGTCGCTTCTGGTTTATTGACTCAACGCGGTTTCGTCCTACGTCTGCAGCGTTTCTGGTCCGAAACCCTACGGACGCGATCTTCAGACATTGGATATAAACCACTCTGGTGTGGTATGCTAACTCGAGAAACAAATACAGCACGTTTCTCTTGGTACCGTTTTACGTGAAAGAATTTCAGCGGCAACTCGAGGATCAGCGATCGCTTCCTGTTCCACCAACTCTTTCGTCCTACAACCGCACGTTTGTTGGTGTAATGGAAACAATTATTGTTAAAACCAATTGTACCAGTGATTGTTTTACTGTACCTGTTTGTTTAACTGTACTAAAACCATACCTTCTTTCGTTAACTGTGACCTCGCACGCTTTCGTTTACGCTACGTAGTCCCGCTTGTACTATTTGGCACGATCTCGGTATTATTTCGATACCACGAAATTGCTAAAAATATATTGTATTACGACATTCATTTGTCTTTTAGTTTTTGGTCTACGAAGGGGTCAAACCTAATATCTGGTACGTAATCTTCCTATAGTGGTGATCATAGTCAATCGCGACTCGACGCCTACTACAATTCAAAGCGATTGGAGATACAAACTTCAGAAAAGATGTTTCGGTTCGTTTTTGAGAACTAGAATCTAAAAATGATATATATGTTTCAAGAATTATGTGAGAATGGTCCCAGGTCATCACTATCGAATGCTAACCCAGACAAAGATGAGTTATTCCCTGATTATTTCAACAAATGGCACACAATGGAAATGCTTTTCTTGCAGAAATAGTCAGATAATCCTTGTCAACGTCCGACTGATGCTCTGTTCTATGAACGTCCTGTCTTCAAACGACTAAATGGTTCTGTTATTGAAAAAATTAACGGCACCTTGTGAATTCCATCCTAGGCTAATGAGTGGTCTAACATTGTCAATGAAGTTGGTGTATTGGGACGGTTGACGTTGGATTTTGTAACGCTTGTCCAACCATTTCAGTCGATTCCTCATTTTTGTTTCCGACTGACATGCGGATATGTTTATCGTCCCCAAAGTAGCGAGCATTAGGTGCGTGCAAACAATAAGTGTTGATTATGTTTATCGGTTTAATTAACTCGCGAACTTTTCTATAACGTATTAGATAATGAAAGCTGTAAGGTCGGTGAACTGTCACTTTGACCTGGCCAAGTCATCCGGCAGTCGGGTTGCTGAATATCGAACAGTTCACCGATCCTCGTCAAGGTTGAGGAAAATCAGCGCGTATTATTACTTGCACGCCGTGGACTGGCGGGCATGAGTCGGTGGTTGCCCTTTTCTTCTTCTACGCGCATCAATATATTTCTGTAGTAACGTTGTTGGTATCGTACGGTCATTAAAGTAGTCATAGTACTTGGTTACAATGAAAAGCTGGTCCACTTTGGGCAGTGATCTGAAAGTGTAACTGTAAGGTAAGCTGGTTGGTCTCGCCTGTTCCGTTCAACGCAAGTAGGCATCCAGACCATGATTACAGATCGCCTACGTTGGAGACCTTCGTTGGTAAACCCGACGTGATCAACACAACCATTTACCTGCTCAATTATTTGGGAATCAGGAATATTGAAACCACAAGCGTGTTTGTTTGTTTTTTAGTTCCAGAATTTAGTGAATATGTTTACAGACTAGTATTAGCCGTTCGCATACCAACCGCAAAAGATAGCATATTGAAACCTCAAGAAACATGTTTTCGCACGTTAAACTTCGAACAATCAGTTTGCGCTATTATGAAGGAGCCGAAGTCATGGATCTAGTCTAGTTTGCAGTAACCACCGAATGGAAGAACCATTTTACATAGCTCGCTGTTAAGATAAAAGTACTGAAACATAAGTTTATGGTTGTTTACTGTTTTATTTCATGTAAGCAGTGAACTTCCTACTTTCATCTTCTGATTAATACGCGACTCACGTGTTTGTCAACCACAACTACTTGTTTCTCAACTTGCTCTCCATAAAACATTCATACAGACGATGGAATTGGGCGTTCCTGATTTTTTCCAACGGAAATTCGCGGTTAGTACAACAAGTGAATGGCTACAGAAACAGTTTGATACGATCAAATAAAGTTGTGGTATCCAGATTGCTGGAATTTCGTGCTCATAAATCCTACGTATTGTGAACAGGCAAGTTGAGCGACGATCCGGTAATAGCAATGATGCTTAAAACTCATAAAATACCTGTACAAATTTACTTCCAAGCCTGCTTGGTGTCTAAATGCTTGGTATAATCAAGGCCATGCGATAACTGGTAGATACATGCTAAACGAATACAAACTAATCACTTGTCAAAACGGAAAGAGATAATTCGAACACAGCCGAAATTACTTGCAACGGTTTTTGATCTAACCCACCTTTAGTTTTTCAGCTTTCCAATGAACTGGGTCCCAGAAAAATTAAACGCAAAACACGAGGCAAAAGTCATTTACTCTGTAAATGAGGATACCTTCTTCCATGAGTAGGTATAATTGCGGTCTAAATCGGTGTTCGTACGTTTATCTTTGTTACTATAATAATAAGCCTAAACCCACACTTGTAGATTTGTCATGATGTGACTGTTTGTTTTATAAGACCTTGCGTGGAAGTCACATCATTGTCTATTCTGACCCGTCGTATCATGAAAATCTGCAAGTAGTGAATTACTGAAATTATCTCCTAGAACACAACTATCTATGCTGACTGACTAACCATTCCCACTTAATGGTATCAGAATGACTTGTACCAACTGTTCTAACTGGTTATGAATATTTTTTCGATCACTTATTTCTAGAGGTATATTACTTAATCTAGAAATTTGAACCATTTTGAACCATTTGAACACCTTAAAAACAAACGGACCAGGAGAAACGCATACACTTGAGCATGGCTCATGGCATCTTCTGTTGATATATTCAAAACGGGTTTGAACCTCCACAGTGTTACAAACTGCAAGGAATAATATAGGTCGATAGACCTCCTATCCTTATTACTGAAGACTGAATCATTTAATCCAGAACGGAATTTGTAGGTCATACGCGCGATGATTTGAGATCATGACGGTACGTGCATGCTACGCGAAGGCTTTGGCTATTTTTTAACATTTCGGTTTGCATACTTGTGTAAATATCTTTGAATCCTGAAAGCCGTACTTATGAAGCTAAACGGTCCATCCGATTTTCATGATTTAAATCTTGTTTATTAATTGGAGTAACTAGGATTATTCCAATTAAATTGTAATGTCCATCGGTGGAGTTTGAGTACGTATCTATAGAAAAGTTGTGCATTACATAACGTATGAATAACACTAAGTGGTTTTTGTGTTCTGTACCGAAAGACTCCAAGATGCTATCGTGTTTTAGTATTTAAAATGAGCGATTTATTTGTCATTGTAGCGATACAGAATGAGACCTTGTCAATAATATAAACTTAACGTTTTACCGAAAGTTAGTGCAGGAAGTTCGAACTCGTGATGAAAAACTACATCTTTTGGTATTATGGAGGTTTTTCATACTTTGCAAAAATATAAATCAATACTTCAGTCCTGTTGAACTTCAGGAGCCTCTGACAGCAGTAGAATGTTAGTGAAACATTCCAGTTTAATGTTTTCATCCAATGTACTTTGGAGTCTAGCCCCGTCAATTTTAATCCAGTATTACAGTTTGTGGCTTCTTCATTATCACAAATTCCAAGGTTTTTTAGAGGGAGAGCCTTGCTACTTCACAAAAATGTCTAAGCAGCATATCGCTTTGTTTTTCACAGCATACGAAGCAGTCTATGTAGATGCTCTCTAACAAGAAATACAATTTGTAGTAAAACTATCGTTTGCTCAAGCTTCATGTTACAGCAGTTGCGAGCCAAAAATTACTTGAGCTTTACCTTTCCTTTAAATCCTTTCATAAGTTTCATATACTGCTCTTATCGAACATCAAAATGGCGTCACCTTAATTTGTGATTAGATATTGTGTAGTGTGTTAGTGTTGCTGTTCTAGGATCCAGCAATTCGGTGTGATCAAACGTTATGTAGCATGAAAAACCAGTCTGGTTATCTCTTCTATGGTGTCAAACAAGGGCGTTGCTTACACTACTTATGACTGACTGAGTAGAGGTGTTGAGTGGTTATCGACCATCGGATTCAAAATGTACTGATCTGATATTGTTAAGGCTGTTTGTTCTAAGTACCTAACAATATGTCTTATATTAGTCTTTGCGTAATACAATTGCGTTCACACAGAATGGTGTAAGTTTCATTTATTACTAGGTCCATCATGGCCATTTCTTGCCTTACCGTCTCTGCCTATTTTAACTTGCAAAATCACAAAATTAATTGGAAGACAATTTGCTAATCTACACATTTAACCACTGTCCGTCTTCGATTTTCACAGTTCAGTGGAGACTAGTTCTAACAAAAAGTGATCTGATTTCAGGTACATCACTCAACTTGGTAAGTAAATCACACATCACTACTGTATGTAGTGGAATAACATATGGCACAGTAGTAGTATTTCTTTATTATGTCTGTTAAATGTCAGGTAATTTAAATTACCATGTAAGTTAAGATTACTCATTAGTATTTTGCAAAAGTAAATCGCCATGGTAATTATGGTATTTTCTCAAACGATATACAACTCATGAAGTCAACGTTTTCATTTATCTGCATTTTGCAGGGGTTTTTCATTTCATGTTAGCAGCTACTTTTCGTCCGATTTTACTGGCAAGTCGGTTTTCTTTTTACTCGTCGATTATCAGACCAAAGTCTCGTGATTGTTTCTTGAAACTCAATACACTTAACGTTTATAAACACTTCGAAAAACTCCATATTATACAACCAAAGGGGTGGTATATTATTCCATTAATTATAAAACGCAATATTAAATTTTGCGTGTCTAACTGATTCCAGTTAGATCACATGAAATAGTTGTTTGAATTTATTAACTAAATGCAAAGAACATCATTCAGTATAACAGTCAAAATAAAGTTAAAAATCCAATGATAACGTAACTGCCTTATCAATTGGAAATAAGTTTTTATGTTACGAAAGCACCACTCATGGCAAGTTTTATTTTTATTTAAACGCGGATACTGGTACAAGGAAGCACCAAATATATATACGCCACACATCATTCGATTCGTGTGAGGGCTGGGATATTTCTTAAAGTAGGTAAGTAAATCACACAGGATAAGTATACTTTTGATCCGTTGATTTGATTGTGATGTTTTCACTAAAAATATTTCATCTCGTAGTATACATTTTTATGATGCCTTTTTTCTTTGCAGAAGGTCTATATTTTGTATGAGCACGCGTTAGGATATGCACTGTTCCGAGTTAAAGTCAAATCATTAGAAACTTCAGATGCCGTTGCTGCGTTACAACAGTTAGCTGCAGATCTGTTAAACGATGAAGAAGAGTTTATGAAATGTTTTAAACTGCACGCATTTGTGCCTTTCTCCTCCTCAGCTAGTGCTCTACAAAATTGTAATGGAATATCAGAAGGTGTTGTTCCACAGGAACTTAAAACGTTCATAGAGGAGAATTTACCTGCTTCCGATGTTTTGTTGTGCATCTCAGACCGGAAACTTGCTGAATCTCTTAAAGCGCCTGAAGTTGGATTGCCTGAAACTATTGCATGTTCATCTGAATCCATTCTTCACGAAGTCTTTCGGGCTCTCCGATTTTACTTTCCTAAATACATCAAAGAATTTTCGCATTTCGATGAATCAAAAGCTCAAATAGGTTTAGGTCATAGTTACTCTAGAGCCAAAGTGAAATTTAATATATACAGGTTTGTTTATTTTTATCCTTTACTTATCTGTTTGTTTAGAAACGACAATATGATTATTCAGTCCATAAATTTACTAGACCAATTAGATAAAGATGTGAATAACTTTTGCATGCGTGTCAAAGAATGGTTCTCTTATCATTTCCCAGAATTGTCAAAAATTGTTCCTGACAATCCAACTTTTGTTAAAGTAATCGGTCTTATTCGTACCCGAGCTGGTGCAACAGAAGAAAATCTTGAAGCATTGGAGGCTTTAACTAATAGTCAAGTTGCTTCAGATATCATTGAATCTGCTAAATCATCCGTTGGTATGTTGACATTGTGTTTCTGATTTTAATTGCATGTAGGCTTTGATATTACGGATGATGATGCTGAGAATTTGGCAACATTCACTGAAAAAATTAATGCGTTAATTGAACGTAGAAGACTAACACAAGAGTATTTAGCAAAGAAACTTGCTGGTGTTGCCCCAAACTTGAGCACAATGATTGGGGACAGAGTAAGTGCAAGGCTAATTGCTCATGCGGGATCCCTTACGAACTTAGCTAAATTCCCTGCCTCGACAATTCAGATATTGGGGGCGGAAAAAGCGTTATTCAGAGCATTACGAACTCGTGGTGCTACACCAAAGTATGGATTGATTTATCATAGTCAATTTATCACTCGTGCTGCGCGAGAAAATAAGGGGAAGATCTCTAGATTTTTGGCTGCCAAATGTGCTATAGCCTCTCGAATCGACTGCTTTAGTGAAGTGCTTTGTGATATCTATGGAAAACATTTGAAGCAACAAATTGAGGATAGACTGAATTATTTTGAGACTGGCACTACGCCCCCTACAAATGCTGAAGCTATGGCGCGCGCAATTGCTGAGGTTAGTGTACTAGTCTTTAATTATTTATTCAACTGTTAGTTAATCTTACCTCCGTTGATGTAGCAAACAGAAAGTTTACTTTGAGCACGTTGATCAAGCGTTACTCATTTATTTACTTACTAAATTTTGTAGAATATAAACTTTTAGTTTCACGCATTAATCCATAGAAAATTCTAAGAATCATCAACAAAACGAAAATGTCCGTACTGCTGAATAATCCATTTTGCTCGACGTGTTTCTTTCTACAGTTGCCGGAATAACTGTCCAACTCTAAAAGTTTGGTTAGCTTCTACCAACCTGTATCACCTATGGCGTAGGCAAGTTGTCTGTCTACATATTAAAAGACGACTATACTGCTCAGCAATTTTTTCTGTTCTACTTTTCTGTTGTGAAACGTAACTTTTAAAAGTTGATGTGGCTCAGAATCGGTGAAAGTGGGTCAGAATAGTTCAGTATGTGTCTTCTATTAGATTTAAAGCTTTAAAATTATCTTGTAGTTCTTGTTTCTTGTCCCACGGATTCATTCTTGAAAGATATTACCAACCACTTATACTGTCACTACTTCTCTGGCATTTTTCCTGTTGATATGGTGTTGCAGCTTGAACCGGTCCACATATTTGTCAGTTCTTACTTGGCGGATATCTCGCTCAGGCTACAAGCGGCCCAGGTTAACACAAGCCAATTGGTCCCTTTGAATCCGTGCCAAGATTTCGTCAGAACTAATGAGATTTCCAATATAATTGAGACTATTGATACGCTCAACTACTTTACTCTCGATCATTATTTCAGGCCCTGACAAAAGTCAATCCGAAAACTATTTTACATTTGGAAAGAGAGAACTACATCTCAAACATGCTTGCATTTTTGCTTAAAGTAGTCATAACACAACATTTTGTTAGCGTTTTCACCAGACTAAACTATGCCCTCTGTGTATCCTAAGTCAACAATTGAATCTTCTAGTAGAAGATCAATCAGTGAAAAGTTATGGCAAAGTTAAATGAGGGAAACGAACAATCCTGACGAACACTTGAATTAACCAACTCTGATGACAGTAACTGAGGTGTGGCTGAAAGCCTGTTGAACTGTTCCCTAAAAAGTTCTCCCCTTCAGTTGAATCTCTTGGATTGAGAGTGAATAATAGTCCCATCTTTTTCCGAGATAGTTTCACTAACAGCCGGATTTCATACCCCTTTCCTTGATAAGTCAGAACAGTTGTCTACTGCTACCTATCGCTTCTACCTTTTCCACCTCGTCTGCTTTCTCTACCCACCACTGCTCACAATCATTGCGTAGGCTTTTTATTAGCATACGTTTAAGCTGTATCCACTCCTCATTGCGCCTAGAGCCAGAAGGGATACGTTTCTTGGCACCTATCAGTTCAGTGGATGCCCCTCGTACAGAACCAGTCTTAAAATGTACTGAAAACAAGAGAAACTGAATCATTACAACTTAGGTCATAGTTGTTGTGTTTTTGCTTTCACTACAAGACCTGAATTTACTAACTTTTTCCGTACATTTATCACGTCAACTGACACAACTTGAATTCCTACTTCTCCAAATCCATCAGAAAATCAGAGTAGACTGGTCACAAATATCTTCATTGTGGGTGCGCACTTCTGAGGAGTCTCACGTTGGGACGAAACGACTGTCTTTTATTTGTTGCTTTTCAATGGTTTTCTAACTGAGATCAATCTGTGACGAATACAACCTACAAATTAAATCACTCTCCACAAGACTCTTTAAAGTAAGCAATAGTGACTCTATGCTCATTTGTGACTATCTTTATAAAGAGCTCCCTAAAGTTATAGTGAGAGTTAATGGCGGTGGAGTTATACTATATAAGAAGTGTGAGACAGCTATCATCAACGAACTGGTATGATAGTTGCATTCTGTTACTAACTGATTAAAGCTGAAATTGTAAACCTCGTGGTGTTCCAATTCAGACGTCTATAAGCATCATGCTCATCGTGGGACTCGGCGATTCTGGATTACCGGAAATGTTGAGAACTCTCGAAATTGAAAAAAAAGATAGCTTTTTCACACTATATAGTTATCAATAGTTGTCTCATTGATTTTTTATGTCCTTAATGAATGTTAATGTCAACGTTCCAACATTATTGCATAACTTTGATTCTAATAATCATCTATTGTCTATCAATATTAATATGTAGGATCTGATGTTCAATAGAGTGCTTTGTTGAACAATTTTATATTCTATGCTTAAAATTAATATTCAGATGATTCAATCCTTATCCACTTTTTCCTTTGGATATTTTTTTTTATCAAGGTGAATAAATATATTCAACGAATGAAGAAAAAAGCTATCAAAACACTGAATAAAAGAGATTCAGATAGTCAAGAAGAAGAAGAAGAAGCAGCTGTCACAACACTTGAAACACCTATATTAGACAGTAAAAAGAAACGTAAGAAAAAACGTAATTTAATAAATGGGAACATCACTACCACTACTACTGTTGTGGATGGTGTTTCTAATGATCCGAATGAAATAGTGAATCATGATGAAGGAGAATTAGATCAACAACAACAACAACAACAACAACAAACAACTGAAATGAATCAACATCAACTGCTAAATGATGATAAAGAAGAGAAAAGTACAACAATGAAGAAAAAGAAAAAACGTCATCATTCAGAATCGATTGATCTTGTTGAAAATTCAATGTTAACAAATGGTGATCATATTTGTGTAGAAACAATAGAAACATCAATATTATCTAAACGTAAACGATCCGCTTCTGAATCCAGTATGGTATTAGAGGATATAAAATCGGATAGTTTAAAAAAGAAGAAAAGAAAAAAACATCCTATATGATGTGATTGGATTAATTTACATTTAGCTGTGTAAAAGACAATCAGCTCAATTTTTGACTATTTATTGTAAATAGTAACATTATTGGTTATTTTTTGGTTGTTGTTATTGTTGTGGAATATAAAATATATTATGAATCTCCTATTCTTCTATCTCTACACAAATCTTATTCGATATGTGTGAGGGCTATGATACTGCTCGGGTGCCCAAACCGAAGCAGGTGGTTTTCTTAGGGGGCGGCCACCCCCCGAGCCTTCGACCTGAAGGTTTGATCCACAAGGCAGTGGAGCATCGTAAGGAGATGCAGTCCCTTGGAAGCCGGTGACCAACAATTGGTTCATACGCCATTTGTTCCCATGTGCACCACTGGTTTGGAATCCGGTTAAAGCGCCGGACATTCGGTTTTCGTCCTCTCATTTTCGTAAACAACACCCCTTCCACGAGAAGGCAGTGAATAGGAATTCCCTGGCAAAGGCTATATACGCGTGGCCGTGTGAGAGCATTTGGAGAGGGAGAGCGGACTCTCCCCACTCTCGGCCGTACCAGGGCATTTGGGGGCTCTACATTGATTACATAATGATAATAATAATAATGCACCTGGATATTTGTTACATTCTACCATACATCTGACTGTCAGTAGTCCTAATGAACGTCGAACATGGTACAAATATATGTTAACCTACAAGTTACTATAATTTACTAATTAATTGCCTCCAAATACCCTGGTATGGCCGTGTGGGGAGAGTTAGCTCGCTCTCTCCAAATGCTCTCACATGGCCACGTGCATACAACAATTGCTAGAGAAGTCCCACTTATTGCCTTCTCGCGGTGGGGGTGCTGCTTACGAAATCGAGAGGACGAAAAGCGAATGTCCGGTGCGTTAGTCGGGTTGGTGGATATGGAGGATACACTTAGAGCCGTTGGAAAACCCGGATTTCAAATCGATAGTGCACATGTGCTCCAGGATCTTGAAACAGCAAAAGGCGTATGAACCAATTATTGGTGACCGACTAGCATGGGACTGTATCTCCTATCGTTGCTCCAATGCCTTGTGGATCAGACATTTAGGTCGAAGGCTCCGAGTGTGATACCGTAAGAAAACCACCTGCTTCGGTCTGGGCACCCGGGCAGTATCACAGCCCATACACAAATCAAGTGACTCGTGTGGCGCATATGTATTTGGTACCTGCTTGGAACGACGAAATCGACAAAATGAGTCGAAATAATCTCATAATAACAATAATAGTGAGAAAGTTTAAATATTAATCATATAGTTTAAAAAGACGAAGTGAGAAGAATGTATGTATGAAGGAATATTGGTACTAAAGAAACTAGGAGAGAAATAAAGATGGAATGTATATAATACCATTGTGACCAGTTGCGAGCGATGTCACTCAATATCTGCAATCATTGATTTCAGTAATCATGAGGATACTAATCAGATAATCTGGATATATAAACATTCCTTAGGTTAGCAGTTTGCCTGTATTGCTGCTTAGCGAAGTTCAAATAGGATATGAAGTTGTGGATTTAGTTAGTAGTGAATGAACTTATCAATACCAATTGTCACCTTTGGAAATAAGACTGGTCTGATGCAACAAATTGGAAAGCATTAAGAAAAATAAGCTTTATTAACAAATACTATTAGGTTACTGTTATATCGTGTAACCGTATTAATAATATAACGTGATGGTACCGCCGATTAGAGAACAGTGATTTGTCGACCGGAGCAATGACGCGTAAACCTGTACGAGCAGTCTAGAATCTCTATCGATTCTTCCTGCTTGTTAGAGTCCAGAACATCAATCCCAGCCTCCGCGATATGAATCATGCATTTCAAACATACTGGATTTGTATACAAACCAAACAGACCACATCGTACTATAACATAGCCATAGCCAAAACTGGCTGTGAATGTGAGAGACTGTCATTAATAGACTGGGCATAACTCAAGAACTGTAAATTGTATAGTAATAGTCTATGGATCAAATTAAAGCTTGTAATAAGGGTTCTTATTTTATTTTATTTAAACATATAGTTATTGGTGCATAAGGGCATCAAACACATAGGCGCCACACAGGTCACTTGATTTGTGTATGTGGGCTATGATACTGCCCGTGTTCCCAGGCCGAAGCAGGTGGTCTCCTTAGGGTGCCACACCCGGAGCCTTCGACCTAACGGTAGTGGAACAACAGTAGAAGGTGCAAGCCCATGTGCACCATTGATTTGGAACCAGAGTTTTCCAACTGCCCTAAGTGAATCCTCCATATCCACCAACCTGGTTAAAGTGCTGGACATTCGCCTTTCATAAACAACAGTAATGCCGTGAGAAGGCATTGGTTGTATGCACCTAGCCATGTGAAAGCATTTGGAGAGGGAGAGCTGACTCTCCCTATCCTCAGCCGTACCAGGGCATTTGGGGGCCACCTTAGCAATTCAACATAGTGTTTTAAATGTTACCAATTCAGCGAAACGATTAGAAGCTATTCCATTTTGTCTGTTGACTCATTTTAGAGTATTCTGAAACATTGATTATATACAAACTATCAATTAAATACCGAGCTATTACACTATTTAAAGCTGTTACACTTTTCATTTTGCGAATTTTTTAGAATATACTCGGAAATTATAAACATGTAATCTATGCTTCTGTTTCAATTCACCTTAATTTTGTTTACTCAATGGATGGTGTATATTCGCTAGGACCAAATGAGGGTTATAAATTAGTGTAATTTACAGTTGATGATCAAGATTTACTAATTAGATTTAGGGTTTTCATCGCTAATTGACATCAGCTATAATGCCAAATGGTTGACTGAATTTTGAGTCAAAATTCGAGACCTGTTGTCTTATACCTGATTGGTTCGTCCAAAAATTATAGTCTCCCCTCATGAGTTTAATTCCACAAACAATATTGAAATTCATAGAAAATTTGTAAGGTCGGCTCATCGGCGAACTCGACGAAGCTCTAAGAAGCTTAGAAAGAGCCGAAGATATTCCATCCAATCATCTTTTGGAAGAACATTATAAAATCTTGATATATAGCTTCCCTATTAGATAAGATGCGTCTTGGATGACTATGGTGATGATTTTGCTTTTACTGAAAACTATAAATACCTGAGAGTTTTGTACCATATTGAACATTGATTGGAATAACATTCCTTCTCATTCATCTTCTGTCTTCTCATTTGCGACTTGAAGGGTTTTAGCGTTCGAGTGCTCAGGTTGTACGTGGTATATCAAAAATCTGTGTTCTAGATACAACAAATTTTATGAAAAGCATGGAATTCCGTTTTTTAAGTTTATAAATAAAGCTCTGTGGTGCATTCGATTTGAAAGTTTACGTGCAAGGAATTCCATGCTTTTTATCAAATTATTATGGATTTCAATATTGTCAGAATGAGGGTTTTTTGAAACTGTAATAATCTAGTGGTTGAATCCATGAATCCATTTTAGCTTAATCACCCTGGAAGCACTGGTTATATATGACTCCTTATCAGTGCGCATCCACGATTCCGCACTCGGGATTCGAACCCAAGGACTTAAGGTTCCACGCGCGAACGCCTGACCTCTAGACTACTGAGCCAGCATCCAACGGTATTAATGACTAACTCAAACCAATCCACGTTATTGTAGAATTAAACTCATGAATTTTATTTTAGAATGTTCAATCAAAAAAGCCAGCATAAGTGCTGTTGGTGGCGTGATTGATGAGATCAGTTCACGTGTAGTCAAAGCCAGAGCGGCTTGTGCTAATCTGAACCATCTTTGTCGCCTTCGTGATGTTAGTCTGGCTGTAAAAGGTCGGATCTACAATGTGTCGGTGAGAGCAGTTTTGCTCTGTGCTTGTGAAACCTGGCCTCTCCGAGTTGAGGATGTTAGACGACTCTCTGTGTTTGATCATCGTTGTCTCCGAAGGATTGCTGACATCCAGTGGCAACACCATGTTAGTAATGCAGAGGTTCGGCTGACCACTTAACTAGGCTGAGTAACGTTAGGTTTTTCGGAGATTTCTCCCTTTTCCAGCAGTTATTGTTCTAGCCACCAAATGCCCTGGTATGGCCGAGAGTGGGATGGGCCCGCCCTCCCTTTCGAAATGCTTTCACATGGCCACGCGTATAAAGCCTATGCCAGAAAAGTCCTACTCACTGCCTTCTCGTGGTGGGGGTGTTGTTTACGAAAATGGGAGGACGAAATGCGAATGTCCGGCGCTTTAACCGGATTCCAAACCAAACCAATGGTGCACATGGGCTACAGTATCCTGAAAGAACAAATGGCGTATAAACCAATTGTTGGTCACCGGCTACCATGGGACTGCATCTCCTTACGATGCTCCACTGCCTTGTGGATCAGACCTTTAGGTCAAAGACTCGGGGTGTGGCCCCCTAAGAAAATCATCTGCTTCGGTTTGGGCACCCGAGCAGTATCACAGCCTTCACACACACAAATATGTTGTGGCGCATATATATTTGGTTCCCTCTTGTACCAATATTTATATGTTCAAATAAATAAATAATTGTGTTCTACAGGGTGGGTGGCTGAATTGCGAAGCTTTTGTTGTAATTCTAGACAACATCGTCTGGTCTAATGAGTTGCGTGAAAACTGTGTGTATCAAGCATTCTTGAAAAATACTGAAATATAGATTCTGTCACTCGAATTTAAACGATACAACAAACCTTCAGGCTTTTAGACTATAACAGACTTAAATCCCTTTATACATGTACGTATGGTTTTATTGTGTAGGTTGTCAATTCTTGCTTAGTCATACATTTATAATTGTCAGTTCAGGAAGTTTTTCGTAAATAACAGTTAGGCTACTTATAAGTAGCAAAATGTTCAAGACGAATGTTTTATAAACTTTTTGTCTAGCATTCAATATCTCGGAAACAGTTCAACAGCCCGAAGATTGAATTATGGAAGATAATCGCTTAGTTTCGTGAACTGATTGAAGTCAGATGTGTAAAGCACTGGATTCTGGTCCGAAGGTTGAGTAATCACCCAAGAAACTGAATTCTCGGGGTCAGATTCGTGTATGAGCACTGCTGGGGATTCATTTACTAGGGGAAAACAACTGTCCAATGCTCCATGGTTTTTAATGGTTATGTAACTAAAAATAACGGGTGATGTAATCTAT